CCAAATGTATTTATCATTGGGTGACGTGAAACACGGAGCAGTCGCCAGCTAATTGCAACACAGTCCATCAGTCGCACGCGGAGCCAAATGTCAACACATGCAGCATGTATCTAGACGACATCTCCCCAAAACCCACTATCCCCATCAACGCGTACGCTGCGTAGTGATTGGTCCAGACGACACACCCGGAATTATTGACAGGGACGCGCACGTCCCCGCCAGCGCTCCTTCCCCCAGCTCCAATGCTCCTTCCCCACAACTCCTCCACCTCCCAGCACCTTACGGGTTCATCTTCGTGCACCATCCTTCCTGTTCCAATCTGTTCATTTCTCTCTGCTCCCGCTCCCTAAAGATCTAGATCTAGAAGCACTCTATCCGCCAGCATGGCTCGTAAGCGTAAGGGGCAGGCCCTTAACGACTGCCCCAAGGATCTTGACGACATTCCTTACATCCGCTGGATGAACCAGCAGATCGCCAACGGGCGCCATCCGAAGGGATTATCCGCGCCGCCCGTGCTTGACGGCCAGGGATCCAGTGCACAGTCGCCCAGTGCGGCCCCGTCACGTGTGCGTCGTCAGCCTGCAAGGACGGCTGCAACACACCGGCTTGTCGTGGAGCAAGATGCGTACGATGACGATGATGACGACCCCGAACAAGGCCTCGACACCGACGACGACGAGGAGGAACCGGAAGACGCTGGGATGTCGCCCAGCGACGGCGACGATGAAGATGAGGACGCCGAGGACGACACGGAGGAGGAAGCGCAACCTGTGTCTGTGACTACAAAACGGAGCGCCGCACGCGCATCTGGGACGAACAAAGGCAAAGGCAAGGCGGCGCCACCACCGCCACGCCAGGAGCCACGGAAGAAGCGATCGGCTGCACCAGTCGAGAGGGGCTTATGGTCGGACAAGGAGAGCACCATATTCGCCGCGGCGAAGTGGTTCATGAAAGAGGAGCTCGAGCCTCTCAAGGGGAAGCAGGGGACGCAATACTGGGTCCGACTACTCGCGCACATCAAGGAGTCGAACCCTGGATGGTGCAGGGGTGTCAACGCGTTGCAGAAGCAGTGGCGTAACTTGACGCTCCTCTGGCGGGAGTACAAGCGTGGCGACGGGGGGTCAGGCCACGGCTCGGTTGAGAAACCACCGTGGTATCCGTACCTGGAGCTGCACAACCAGGACACCGCCGCAGCCGCACCGCATGCAGTGGACGGCGGCGGCGCCACGGATGTCAACGTGCCGGCCGGCATGGAGGTTCCAAGTTCGTCTCAGCCAGGCACGTCAACACCAACCTTTACGGGTGAGTCGTGCTTCTATCACCTCTAGCTTGATATGCGTTTGACTTATCGTAGTTTGAATACGATGAATCCGTTTATTTTATTCGCCAATATGCAGGTTTCATCAAACAAGGGTAGTTGGACTATTTTCCCCGCTCCTCTATCACAGCTCCGCCGCCGCCGACCACCGCAACACCTAGGCGTGCACGGCTGCATGAGACGGCTACCATGCAAGCAGCCAAGCTGGTCTCCGCGACCATCAAGGATTGTCACGGTGACGCGATGACGCGCATTGAGAGCCTCGTCCGTGAATGGATGGCGCAGGACATGCGACTTGCCCGCGAGCGCATGACTGAATCGGCGCCCCCGGACGTGCACCGTGCGCCGCCGGATTTCAGCCCTCCTCCGCCACGCGGGGAGTCCGCACCACCTCCCGAAGCCGCACAGCATGGCGACGATGTTGGCGACGTCAACACCGTCACTCCGGGTGCTGAGGATGTGGAGATATGGGTGCGCGGCGCCGACGATTAGCGTAAGAGTCCTGCAGGGCCTCACCCAGTCTTTTCCGCCTCTCTCTCAGAGCCTGTTGTGTTGGGGGAACACAGGGTTCCCACTTGTGTGTCGCAATGGCACCCCGTGTCCACCAAGAGTCGCGGTTGCGGGGCAGATTGAACCAGGCCATGTTCTTGCGCCTAACGACTGCCATCTCTTCACACAAGTTGTGCAGGATCACACAACACGCGGCTCCTGCGAGAATGCGCCACAACCTGCAGTCGTTGCGCCCGCCGAAGATGCGCCATCTCCCTTTCAAGGCGCCGATGCACCGTTCCACCGTCATGCGTGTGGCGCTCTGGCAGTAGTTGAAACATTGGGCCCAATCGTCCATTAGGTCCTCTCCGCGCGGTGCATGCAGGGGGGTTAGGCAGTATTCTCGTAGCGGGTAAGCTGCATCCCCAACAATCTGGTATGGGGCTATGTCCCCGTTGTGTAACCTCTCAAGTAGTGCAGACTCTTTGAAAACCCGCATGTCGTGCGCGCTGCCGGGATAGCCGATGAGGTAATCCCATATCCTGCCTCGTGCATCACACGTGATTTGGAGCTGAACGGCGTAGGCCGACTTCCTTGTCCAGTACTCCGCCCTGTGCCCTTCCATCCCTTTCATGTGGATGTGAGTCCCGTCCACAGCCCCCACCACTGCAGGTACACCTTTGATGGCAGCGAATTCACGCGCCATCTCGGGAAGTTCATCGCGTGTGGGAAAGCGCACCCAGGCGGCCTTGAAGACAGAGGGGAACTCGGTGAGGAACACGTCAACAAGCTCGTGGCAGAGTGTCTTGGAGACACCGAACAGGTACGACATGTCGACGAATGAAATCCCACTCGCCAAGTACTTTATTGGGATGAGCAAAGCAGTGTCCATTGTGATTATCGACCGATGGACGATGGGCTCTAGATATTGTCGCATCCCAGACTTTACATGCTCAAGTATGGCGCGGTTGATCCTGAATATGTCTTGGAAATCGTTCTCCCGCATGTGTTGCAGGTCTTCAACCCACAAAGCATGACGTCGCCGCCGTACACTCGCTCTGTGACGACGGTTCTCCCCGGTGTCGTCCCCGGACGATGAGGACTGCTCATCCGCGTCCTCAAACACACCGGACTCTATGAGGCCTACGAAGGACTTCGCGACATTTTCGTAGAAAATGGTGTAGTAGTAGGTGACCCAGGCGACGAGGAGGCGTAGGATGAAGGGGATGGCTCTAGGCTCTGCCATCATGCGTGGATTATGCGTGTGTAGTAATGGTGTCTGTGCTATGTTTGATTATAAAAACTGACGTACTAGAGGATGATTTGAAGATGTATGTGCCGTTGAGGCAATTATTGGCACTGCGGAGGAGTACTGTACCCTCCGCGGCCTCCTTGGACATCACCAAGGATCTACCGCGGACCTGGAGGTGTTGGTGTATGTGCTGCGCAAGGACGAGTGGGCATGTTTATTCTATGACCAATCACAAACGTTCGCACATAATTGTCGCGCGTCTGTACAGAGTCGCAATACATCGATCGATTGGGACATGCAAACTCGAGACATTTGAGCGCGACTCGGCCAAATCTTGATTGGGACACATCGATTGGGACATGGTCCACAGCGGAATGTACCCTGAACTATGAAGCAGTTGGGTACAAGTACTAACCCTAATTTTGTTGTACCCCTTATGGGCTACCTCACTATAGCCTACACAAATGTAAGCACTATAACATTATGGCAGGTTGTACTCTCTAGTGAGTACCCCAATATAGCCTAGAACATAAAGATCACATTTGATATATGTACGGTAACCCTAAACAGGTTGTACTCTCTAGTGAGTACCCCACTATAGCCTAGAACATAATGATCACATTTGACATATGTATTTTTGTTTATTGGCTTGTATGTGTCTGTGTGCGTGCGTCTGCGAGGTGTTGTTGATTTTTACTTGCGTGTGCATTCGTGTTTGTGGTATGTGCGTTTTTTAGTGTGGTGTTATTACCGTATGTGACATGTACGAAATTGGAGGGTGTAATCGTCTTTGGGGCAGCTTGTTTTCGCTGTTTCAACGATCCCATCAACCTCTGTTGCTACATGCATTTTAGCACTCATTTTGGAGCATCCACACCACCTTATACCTTGTCGTTCATTTGTACAATTGAATTCGTTCATGTTGATACCTGAATCTTATGTTTGGCTGTACTATCCGCTGTATTTATCAACAATGTTGGGACGGTCGAGCAAATTCATGGTTTCAACATGATACGTACGTATGTATTTGGCTTCACATTTAAGAATATCGCATTCAAGATTGATTCTTATTCACTTCTTGAAGCGTTTGTTTGAACACGGTCTCAAAAATCTCAAATGAGTGTGGAAAAAAGAAATCATTTTCGAGATGATGTCCCCAAAATGTGAAACCAAATATACAGGGTTGCTACGCAACCCAAAAATAACAATTCGGTAATGTATCTTCTCATTAACCGAGTTAATTTGTCGAGTCGTATTGTATCTTCTCACATGCTACAGTTACACAACCCTTATTTAAATTCACAGTCGTATTCAAGAACCTCCCTGTGTCTGTCAGAGTGTGGGTGGGCTCTCACCTGAGCAAGTGTGGTTTGTGTTGCCCCCGCCAGCTTTCCAGCCAGTCACCAGGAGAATTGCACCACCACCACCACCACCATCCACAATTGGTCCTCTGTAACGTTTGAAACTTTCGCACTATGCGTGGCACTCTTCGCGCATAATTGCCTAAAGATTCACAGGAGAATTCGCTTTGGTTCAAGAGACAATGTGGTGATTTCTGCATGTTGTTTCGTCATCCCCTTCTCGCAAGCTCGGTATCGCAACTGCAGCTTGCTTCGCTATGCGATTCTAGTTTTACTAACCACCTTTCATCCTTGCAGAAGTATCGACTGTTTCTCAATCCCATTGCAGCGCCACAACCAGCTCTCGCACTCGTACTACGGCTTCCCAAAACAGACGAGCTCTCCCAAACCAGATCAGCCCCTGCCTGAGTCAGGCAGTCGACGCACTCACGCTCAACTAGTACCAACGGTTCATCCATCCCGCAGTTCTGCTAATACCAATCAGGGCCAATCACTTTCAAGTTGGTCATAGTAGCGGTAATACCAATCAGGGCTAATCCCACCCACGCCAATGTCTCGCGAGGAGAGAGCGTCCCCGTCAATGCCGACGCTGCTCGTTCTCGTTCTGCTGCTGCTAGGCGCGCAACGGGCCCGCATTGTTCGGGGGCAGAACGGCGCTTTTCAAATCCGTGGATTGGTATGATGCTTTACCGCCCGGGTTTGCCCCGTAATCCAGTTCACTGATCGGAAACATCTCAATGTTCCTTCCTCCCCTCCTTCCCGCCCCTTCTCCCACCTATAGTCCCGCCCCCACCCCCCCTTCCCCTCCCCCCCAAACCTCACCCGCCTGTAATCCTCCCCATCTTCCGCAACCCACTCCATACAACTGGCGCTGAATCAGTCCACTCCGTCGCGCTCGTTTCTTCTTCGTTCTTAGGTCGCGAGATATTTGTTTCCGTGTGCAACGCTCGCAGTCTTAGCAGAATGCATCCGCTCCCCCGTGTGTAACCTGTGCCAGATGGACTCGGAGTCTGGCTTCTGAGTCAATTCAGAAGTCATCTTTTAACGTCAAGACACTCGCAACCTGGGAATGCACCTGCTCCCCTGCCCTCCCTCCCCCCCCCCTCCCTTCCCCGTGTGTAACCGCGCCAGGTGGACGAGAGTCCGGGTCGCATGCTGGAGCGGCATCAGTACGAGCAGGAGGAGGCGGCCGTGCTACAGTCGGCATCCTCGTTACAAACAGGCCGCGAAGTTCGGCGAGAAGAGCATCATGAGCAGAGGTGCGCCAACGCGCATGGTCTTTCGTTTGCACAGTGAAATCCCTGACCACCCTATTTCTTCTCACCGTGTTCCCGCTCGTCAAGTCAAGCTCAAGCACAAGCGCATTCAACTCCCTTCCGCCAGCATCCAGGCTATGGCTTCGTCGTCCGACTTTCCAATCGTGTCCGTTCCGGAAGCTCGTTTCACACTGCCTCTCGCTGCTCATGCTGAGTTTTTTCGGTCGCGCGCGTCGTTTCCTCTCCCTGTTCCGCCCCCCTCCCCTCCCCGCGCCGTTTCCCTTCTGCTCCCCCGCTTGCGCTGGCAGAGTGTTCGAGGCGGGGCAGGGCTCGTGCGGCTTCCCCGACACGCGCGCAAATGCGGACGAGTGCATGGCGGACCTGGCGAAGTTTCCCACGCTGAGCGCGCGCAGAGGTTCCGCCAGCGCGCGGAAGCTCGCCTGCCTGGCGCACAACTACCTGCGCCCGTGGATGGGCATTCCGGGCGTCACCGCGGGCATGGGCGCGCGGGGCATGATCAATCCTGCGATGCTGCAGCAAATGGGCACGATGGCGAACGTGAGTACCGTTCCCCCATACATTCCCTCCCGCGCACAGTCCCCCCCGCGCTCCTCCCCTTACCCCCGCTCTTCCGCGCGGGGAATGATCAACCACGCAGCAGATGAGCACGATAGCAAAGGTGAGTGTCAAATCCCGCACAGATTCTCCCGCGCTCCTGTCCCACACATCCCCACATCCCCTTCCCCTTTCCCCGCTTCCCCCCCTCCCCCCCCCCGACCCACCCTCCCTTTTTGGACCCCCACGGCATCCTCACGGTTCTTCTGAATTCCCCTTCTCTCCACGTAATTCGTTTTCCTCTCTGGTTCCACTCTTGCCGCCTTATGTTCTCTCACCGCTGCCCCCCACTACACCCCTTCATCTCCTTCCCACACCCCCACCCTACCTTCCCAACTTTACACCCTCGTGTCTGCATCACGTTCCCCTTCCCGTCGTTCATCCCGACTTCCCGCCGTTGTGCTAATGGCTGCGTGCAGGTGCTGTCGTGCGCGGGGCACGTGCGCATCGTTCGCGGGAAGATATTCTTCTGATTCGGTAACTTCGAGTTCGACTGGTACCGCCTCAGGCGATTCGTCTTCTCCGTGAAACTAATCCAGGTCAGTCGGTTGACAATAGCGAGATGCGGTATATTCTACAACGGGGACATTTCAGTATGCCAAGGAGTCAGTGCTGTTATGCAGACACTATCCGGATTTAAACCTAGACACGTCACCCCATATCCATTCAGCCAACCAAAACCTGCCCATCAATCTCCTGATCTCCCAAAACTCAATCCCTGAAACCCGTTTCTCATACCCGTTATGCAAAGCAGGATGCGATACACGAGTACAAGCTACACAACCTGAACGCGGAATTCTTCCTCAATCCATGCGACATGTACATTAGCAAAGCCAGCAGTGTTGCGAAGCCCCTAGCAGGGCTGCCCATTTTCAGCGTGCACGGCGCGCCGGGCAGCATCGACATTCTTTATCCTGACCCAGTTGACCTCAGCAGCAACTATTTCCGGGAAGCGGAAAATGAGGTGGGCCCCGGCAGATTTGTGACGGCACATGCCAATGAAAAAAGACACAGGAAAAGTAGGGGGACAGGAGAAAGGGCAGGCGTCCCAAAGAAACTACGGCAGTAATTTTATTTAATTCCTATTGGTGCATCTCTCATATCCCTCTACAGCTGTCCTTCACACTCCTCCACTCCTTTCCTCTTAATCATCGTTCAATGTCCTTGTGTACTTAAAACACCTTGTGCATTGAATTTCGTGGCATTGCATGCTCGTTTGCAGACCCCGTGGGAGCAGAAGGAGAGTCGAGCTGTGTTCCGAGGCGGCATGACCAATTACAAGGTCATCTACCCCAAGCACTGGCGTGGCAGCCCACGATTCCGCGTGCACAGGTACGGTTGCATTGTGTGGCGTGGGTTCCACACATGACACCACATAGCATCACATAGCATCACATAGCATCACATAGCATCACATGACATGCACCACATGGCACCACATGGCACCACATGGCACCACATGGCACCACACCACATGGCATCACATGGCACCGTGTTTTGCATGCACCATGATTGAACTCACTTCACTCTCAACCCCAATTTACACCCTCCCCTGTCTGTTCCACCATTCGCTGTCCCCTTTCGCTCCTCCCCATACCAGGATGTCGGACGTTCGGCCGGACCTGCTGGATGCCAGGGTAGTGGGAGGAGTGGACCCTGAATACCGTGCAGGGTGAGTGATGAAACCCTACCACTCCTGTGTAACTGCCTCTAGATTCACCTTCCAATAATCCTAACTCTAAACAATTCAGACGGAGTTTACCCAAGTAGCCACCAATGGATCACAGTTGATTCCCATCAGAGAACTTTTGAGTCGACTCATAAACTTCAAGTACGACTGAAATGCCAAAGTAGCACATGCCATGGATCATACCCATACCCAATGGGTCACAGTTCCTTCCCATGGGCGTGTGCCAGCCGGCCAGGCATGTCTTTCTGTCTAGCAGGCTGGCACACATTCATGAACATTGATGCAAGGTTTCCCCCAGTGTCATCCACCTCTCCCGGATCCCTCCCCTCACTTCCCCATCTCCTCCTCTCACTTCCCCATCTCCTCCCCTCGCTTCCCCATCTCCTCCCCTCACCGCCCCCCAGTTCTCATATCCTCTCACCCTGCAGGTCCTCTTGCAAAGCCATAGCCATCGGCGACCGTCTCTCCTTGCTGTTTTTCACCCCACTCTCTCCCCACCTCCTGCTGGGCCCGTCCAACCTGCAACAATACAAGTACGAGCTTGGCTAGACAGCAGCATCTGCATGTGCGGTGATACCAGTGGTCCTCCTCTCTCATACCCATCACCTCCCCTTCTCCCCACCAATATTTTCCACCCACCTCCTTCCTTTCTCCCCATCATCATTCCCCCCTGCAGTCTCCGGCAAGATGCCATCTCATTCAGCAAGCGCCTGGGCCCAGCAGAACTGCAGAGCTGCAAGTATCAACTGGACGTGGACGGAGGGACGGGCAGCAGGCGTGTGTGCGGCGTGCTGTCGAGCAGTCAGATGCTGATCAAGCAGGCCAGCGAGCACACCCAGTTATTCGACCCTCATTCCATTCCACCCCTCCATCCTTCTCTCGCCCCTTCCCTCTCGCTTTCCCTCCCCTCTCTTCACCCCTTGTCTCCCTGCAGACTCCGTCAAGACTCCATTTCATTTGGTAAACGCCTGGGCCCAACAGACATGCAAGGCTACAAGTATGAACTGGACGTGGACGGTGGGACAGGCAGCGGGCGCGTGTGCGGCGTGCTGTCGAGCAGCCAGATGCTGATCAAGCAGGCGAGCGAGTACACACAGTTCTTCGACCCGCTCATGTGCCCGTACCGGCACTTCCTTCCCACTCACCGGTTCTTCTCCGACCTGTTCGGGCGGATTGAGTGGGCGAGGCGGAATGATGGCGAGGCGAGGAGGATTGTTCGGCAAGCGAATGAGCTCGCAAGGTGGGTGTTGGTGTCTCGCACGAATGCACATGCACATGCACATGCACATGCACATGCACATGCACATGCGCATGCACTTGCACATGCACATGCACATGCACTTGCACATGCACATGCACATGCACATGCACTTGCACATGCACTTGCACGTGCACATGCACATGCACTTGCACATGCACATGCACTTGCAGATGCACATGCACTTGCACATGCACATGCACTTGCACATGCACTTGCACACGCACATGCACTTGCACATGCACTTGCACATGCACTTGCACATGCACATGCACTTGCACATGCACATGCACTTTCACAAACATACTCACACATGCACACTCACATTCACATGCACTTGCACAAACATACTCACACATGCACACTCACATTCACATGCACTTTCACAAACATACTCACACATGCACACTCATATTCACATGCACTTTCACAAACATACTCACACATGCACACTCACATTCACATGCACTTTCACAAACATACTCACACATGCACACTCACATTCACATGCACTTGCACAAACATACTCACACATGCACACTCACATTCACATGCACTTTCACAAACATACTCACACATGCACACTCACATTCACATGCACTTTCACAAACATACTCACACATGCACCCTCACATTCACATGCACTTTCACAAACATACTCACACATGCACACTCACATTCACATGCACTTTCACATACTCACACATGCACACTCACATTCACATGCACTTGCACAAACATACTCACACATGCACACTCACATTCACATGCACTTTCACATACTCACACATGCACACTCACATTCACATGCACTTGCACAAACATACTCACACATTCACACTCACATTCACATGCACTTTCACAAACATACTCACACATGCACACTCACATTCACATGCACTTTCACAAACATACACACACATGCACACTCACATTCACATGCACTTTCACAAACATACTCACACATGCACACTCACATTCACATGCACTTTCACAAACATACTCACACATGCACACTCACATTCACATGCACTTTCACAAACATACTCACACATGCACACTCACATTCACATGCACTTTCACAAACATACTCACACATGCGCACTCACATTCACATGCACTTTCACAAACATACTCACACATGCGCACTCACATTCACATGCACTTTCACAAACATACTCACACATGCACACTCACATTCACATGCACTTTCACAAACATACTCACACATGCACACTCACATTCACATGCACTTTCACATACTCACACATGCACACTCACATTCACATGCACTTGCACAAACATACTCACACATGCACACTCACATTCACATGCACTTTCACAAACATACTCACACATGCACACTCACATTCACATGCACTTGCACAAACATACTCACACATGCACACTCACATTCACATGCACTTTCACAAACATACTCACACATGCACACTCACATTCACATGCACTTTCACAAACATACTCACACATGCACACTCACATTCACATGCACTTTCACAAACATACTCACACATGCACCCTCACATTCACATGCACTTTCACAAACATACTCACACATGCACACTCACATTCACATGCACTTTCACATACTCACACATGCACACTCACATTCACATGCACTTGCACAAACATACTCACACATGCACACTCACATTCACATGCACTTTCACATACTCACACATGCACACTCACATTCACATGCACTTGCACAAACATACTCACACATTCACACTCACATTCACATGCACTTTCACAAACATACTCACACATGCACACTCACATTCACATGCACTTTCACAAACATACACACACATGCACACTCACATTCACATGCACTTTCACAAACATACTCACACATGCACACTCACATTCACATGCACTTTCACAAACATACTCACACATGCACACTCACATTCACATGCACTTTCACAAACATACTCACACATGCACACTCACATTCACATGCACTTGCACAAACATACTCACACATGCACACTCACATTCACATTCATTCGTCCTAGCACGTGCCCTTGTACAAGCATACTCACATGCGCAGTTACACACCCTAGCACAAGCATACTCACACATGCACGTTCCGATGCCCTTGCGCACACACACAAACACCCATGTACAATCACACACACACGCACACACACACGCACGCACACACGCACACACACACACACACACATACACACACACACACATACACACACACACACACATCCTTGGTGCTTCCCTACAAATTATCTCATTTTTCACTTCCCTCCCTCCCCGTTCCCCGACCCCCAATATAGTGACGTATGCACATTTGACGGCCGGCGACTCTATTGGGCCATCCTTCTAGCCAAGTACTCCGTATCTGCACTAGAGGACAACCACAACATCACGCAACCACCACTGTTCACATGCACGGCGCCTCCCACCCAAGGAGATGTGGATGGCCCAAAGAGCCAGACAAGGAAGCCCCCCCCCAGATGGCCGCCCAGATGTGACAGTGTGGATGCAAAGAGCCAGCTCACTACTGCATAGGGCTTCTGGAGGACGAGAGCAAGTGGAAGTGGTCAAGTGTAGATGCGCTTGATAATATTGAGGTGTACAAACCTCGCAACAAGCACATCAAGTTCCAGAATATGTGAGCTAGCGGGGAAGTCCGGCGCACAGAGATCATATGCTACTAAATAATCATGTGGTGTATGAGTAGTAGTATAGTATATTCAAATGTCACAAACCATCAGCAATTTCAACAAGGCTAACATTATTGAGGCACACACAAACTCGATTTTATTCTCATACATGGCAAGAATGTACGTTAGCATCCGCATATGGTACCAGTTGGTTTATGTTAGCTCATGTTCTTTCCAATAGAGTGGGGTTAGTAATTTACTATGCAGCCAAAGACGCGGAGCAGATTGACATAAACTAAGGAGCACGAATGAATGAACTACGAATGCGTTTGGTACCAGTACTAACCCTAATGGGTTGTACCCCTTATGGGCTACCCCACTATAGCATAAAGAGAACAAACATATAAAGTTTGACACACCCCCATAGGCAAAGTGGGGGATAGCAAGAATAACAAATGGTCAGAAGACCAGTCAAGAGAAGAAGCAAACCAAAGCTTAGGGTGGATCTCAAGATAACCACGCAGTCCAAGCACAAGCAAGTGGCCACAAAGCCAGTTCACATGCAGAGTTATAGTAGCAATGGCAGTACACTGATCACAACCTAACAAGTGTAAACATGCAGGTATACAGATATATAGCAATGTAGAACAAGGGTAGAGCTAGATCAAGAAACAAGCAAGTGAGGCAGAGTGGGCACAAGCCCAAGAGCAGTGCAGAAACGCTGATGATCACCAGACCCAAGGGCCTTAGTGAAGACATCAGCAGTGTTGGCCTATGAGGCCACGTAAGCAAGGCGAAGCTGACCACGCTGCTGCAGCTCTACGAGAAAGTAACGAAGGGCAATGTGCTTGGTTCTGTGCTCCAGCCTCTACTTCCGACACAATGCAATCATGGCCTTGTTGTCGACGTATAGAACTAAAGGAAAACGAGGCCGCTCACCCAAGTTAGTCAGCAAGTAGGTCAGCCTGCGTAACTCCTGTGCAGCCATAGCCCCAGCGTAGATATCTACCTCACAGCTGGAACTAAGTACAGAAGACGAGCGGGTGGACGTCCAAGAGACTGGAAGTGTAACCCTGTGACGAGCACAGGGTCTCCTGGTCGTCGGCCCAAGAAGCGTCTGAGTGCCCAGTGAGCACAATTTGACCCTGTCCTCCAAGCACAAGCACCATGCCAGACGTACTGCACAAGTAACGCAATACCCTTTGCGCAGCCCAGTAGTGCTCAGGGTAGTGTCTCCCAGGCGCAACGAAGCGCACCAGGATGCTGAGAGGGTACGCGAGGTCACGTTGAGTGCAGGTCATCAGGTACACGAGGCAGCCCACAAGCTCTGGATGTGGACCTCTCAGCTCTACAGACTCGTCCGAAGGTGGAGCTGAGAGCCAGTGGCTCGTAGGCAGAGGAATGTGTTGTGGCGAAGAGAATTGATAGCGGAAGCGCTGAACGACATGCTGCACCATTTGTGACTGAGTCGGAGTGATGGTGTGCGGTGCTTTGTCCCAGGTGATCTTCAAGCCAAGATAGTTGTGCAGCTCACCCAAGTCAGTGCAGGTGTGTCTCTTCTGCAGTTCTGCCTTCACAAGCGTCAGTGCCTTAGTGTCAGTAGTAGCAAAAACAAAGTCGTCGACGTACACGAGGACGTAGAACGGTCGCAGAGAAGGGTCAGTGCGCAGAAACAGCGAAGGGCCAGTAGTCGTCGGAGCAAACCCAAGAGCCGCAAGTGTCGTCCTCAGTGTGTCGTGCCACCTGCGGGGTGGCTGGCTGCCAGAGGTGTCAAACTTATATATGCTATAGTCTGTTTAGGCTGTAGTGGGGTAGTCCTTAGAGGGTACAACACTTTTGTGTTGTCTACTTGTACCCCATCTGTTTCCTAGTTCATCATTCATTCCTCAATAATCTCACATGGTATAGAGCTAGTTCGCTTTTTTTTTCCTAAGGGCCCACCACTAAAGTTCTTTTTTTTTCCTTACCTGCCCGACGCGCGCGTCGCGCCTGCCCTTCGAGGCCCCTTCGCGGCCCGTAGCGGCCCCTTCACGGCCCGTAGCGGCCCCTTTGCGGCCCGTAGCGGCCCCTTTGCGGCCCGTAGCGGCCCCTTAGCGGCCCGTAGCGGCCCCTTCACGGCCCGTCGCGGCCCCTTCGCGGCCCGTAGCGGCCCCTTTGCGGCCCATAACGGCCCCTTTCCGGCCTGTAGCGGCCCCTTCGCGGCCCGTGGCGGCCCCCCCTCGCGTCCCTTAGAGGCCCGCTGCCGCCCGTACCTGGCCCGTCGCTGGCCCACTACCGCCCGTCGCCGGCCCGTTGCCCCCCCTTTGCCGGCCGTCGCCCGCCTCTGGACCGCCGCCAGTCGCTGACCAGCAGCCCGTCGCCGACCTACCGCCCGTCCCTGACCAGCCGCCCGTCGCCGACCCGCCGCCCGTCCCTGACCAGCCGCCCGTCCCTGACCAGCCGCCCGTCGCCGACCTGCCGCCCGTCCCTGACCAGCCGCCAGTCGCCGACCTGCCGCCCGTCGCTGACCCGCAGCCCGTCGGCCTGGCCCTGCCCTGCTGCCGCCCAAACACCGGCCCTCCCTGCAACCTCCCCTGGTAAGCACTCGCGCTCCCCCCCTCCCCCTCCCTGCTGCGCTGCGCCGCTGGGAGCCGAGCCGCGCCGCCAGGAGCCGAGCCGCACCGCCAGTAGCCGAGCCGAGCCGCCCAGCTGAGCCGCGCCGCCCAGCCGAGCCGCGCCGCTCAGCCGAGCCGCGCCGCCCCCACCGAGCCGCACTGCCCTGCCGAGCAGCACTGCTGCTACTGCTTTGCACTGCTGGTGCTCCTACTGCTGCTATGGCTAGTCCTTCCGTTCTCACCTTTGATGCTGAGGGATGTGCAGTTGGCTTTGATGTGTGGGTTGACGATCTACAGCTATTTCTTCAGTGTGATTCTAGGGATGGGGTATCTCTTTTCGATCACACGTCCGGTGTTTCCACTGCTCCTGCTGCCACTGCTGACAGTACTGTTCGCTCTCAGTGGACCACTCGTGACGCTGTTGCTCGCCTTGCTGTTCGTAGTCACCTGCCGTCTGCTGAGCGCGCACACATTGGCCAGTACAAGACTGCTCAGTCTTTGTACGACGCTGTAGTTGCACGCTACTCCTCCCCTTCCACTGCTGCACTCAGCCGCCTCATGCTACCGTACCTTTTCCCTGACCTTGCCGCCTTTGCCACAGTCGCTGACCTAGTTGCTCACCTTCGCACTAGTGACGCCCGCTACCGTGCTGCCCTTCCCACTGAGTTCTGTGCCAAGAACCCCCCCCCCATGTACATCACCCTTTACTACCTAGTCACCCGCCTCCCTGACTCACTTTCCTCAGTCAGGGATCACTTCCTCTCCCTTTGCCCCACCGAGCTCACTGTCGACCTGCTAGAGGAGCGCCTTACTGCAGCTGGGAAGAGTATCTTAGCTGTAGGTGCTTCTCGCGGCGACCGTCGCACCCCTTTCTTTGAGGGGTGTTCCCCTGTCCCCCTTCTCCCCTCTGTTGCTTCTGCTGCTGCTGTCGACCTCATTGGCACTGAGGAGGTCGGGGCTGCGTCTGCTCCGAGTGGGAGGCGCCGCAACAGCAAGGGCAAGGGGAGCAGAGGTGGTGGAGGGGGCGGCGGGGGGGGTGGTGGCGGAGGAGGAGGGGGTGGCGGTGGAGGTGGGGGTGGCACCGGGAGTGGGGGCTTCAGTGGCGGCAGTGGAGGTGGTGGAGGCAGCGGCGGAGGTGGTGGAGGCAGCGGCGGAGGTGGTGGAGGCAGCGGCAGCGGTGGTGGAGGTGGCGGCGGCGGTGGTGCTGGTCAAGGTGCAGCCACGCAGCGTGGAGTCGCTGGTGGTAGCCAACGTCAGCAGCAGCCGCGCTCCAGTGAGACCCCGTCGGTTCAGTAGCTTCGTGAGTGGTACGCTGGGCGTGGGAGGTCTGGGGGTGCAGGTCCCTGCGCTTACGTTCTTCGCACCGGCCCTCGTAGTGGGGAGGTGTGTAGGCTCCCACACACCACGCAGCGCTGCTTCGGTCGCTTGACTGACGCTTGGCGTACCCAGTTTCCTGACTCTGTTGAGCTCCCTCGCTGGCATGATCTGCTTCTGCAGAATGTGCCTATCTTTGATCTAGATTTTGATGCTATCCTTGCTGCCATGTATGCTCTTGCTGATATTACTGAGGGTGACTGTTACCTGAGTGTCCCGCCCGGCCCGGGCACTGCGGCTGCTGCTCTAGGTGCTAGTGCGGCTGCTGCCCTAGGTGCTAGTGCGTCTGCTGCTCCAGGTACTGGTACGTCTACTCTCTCTGGTACTGCACCTACTGAGGCCTTGCACACTTTCACACTTGACTTTGGTGCTTTGAGCTCTTTCTTTAGAGACAGCACCACACTCACGCCGCTCAGCCGGCCTGTTGCGGTCTCCCTTGCTGACCCCTCAGGGGGCCCAGTCCTTGCACGCTCCTCTACAGTTCTACCGTGTCCTGCGGCCCTGTCGGGCTTGCTGTCGGGACTCCACCTCCCCTCGTTCTCTACAACCTTGGTGAGTGGAGCTGACCTCCAGGACGCGTGGGTTGACCAGTTCACCCCTGGAGGTCAGCGTGTGACCCACTGCACTTGCTCTCGGACGGGCCGCCACCAGGCAACGTTCACCCGTCGGCCAGGGTCGAGTCTGTACACACTGACTACTGCGCCTCCTCCGGTCTCTGCGTCTGGTCAGGTAGCTGCGTCTAGTCAGGTGTTTGCTGCCGCGTCCAGGTCTAGTCCTGCGTCTGCCCCCTGCTCGTGTCGTCCTCTGTCGCACGAGACTCTCCTTTGGCACCACCGCCGTGGTCACCCCTCCCTGCCTCGTCTTCGAGGTATGGCCTCCCGTGCCCTTGTCTCTGGTCTC